ATATGAAGGAAAAAATACCTATCTAACTTAAATAGAAATCGAGGTAATTACGATTGAAGGATGGAAGAAAATGGGGTTGCAATGTGTAAGAGGTAAAATTAGCCAGAAAACGGCGGCCCAAATTGGTTGACTTCCAGCTTTGGGGGCTGGAGTAATTGAATACTGCAAATTCACATTTTTTGTGTCTTCGACCAATGTTTTTTATTTTTCTTTAAAATCCGCCAAGAAATGTGTTTTTAAAATAAACATAAACGGTGTAAGGACATAATAAATTATTTGATGGAAATTGACCAAGAGGGCGGGAAAATGCCTCTTCCTTCTATTTTATTACGCACCTGATTTTACTAAGATCCCACATATTGGTTTATGCATTACAGATGAAAGGTCAAAAGAGTATTTAAACAATCAGACTCAAATAACAATGTAGTAACAAGTAAAAATCAACACCCAACGTTCCGTTACCGTTTGCATTACGCTGCTGAAATATATTTTGACAGATGATATCTTCGAAAAGATACAATTTAAAAACTGACACATTTGGGCTGTCAGCTCTAATTCTTTTACGAATCTCCACTGGCGAATTCACTTTTATTTATTTCTAGTTTTGGGGAGTTTTGTTAACACACCCACCCAAACCCCATCGCATTCTGCCCTGCCAGCGGATTGTTTCCCCGTTGCCTTTTATCAGGTTTATAATCTCCAAAACAATACTGTTATAGATTGTTTTAAGTGGGGAAGGGGGGGGGGGCAGGAGGGTTGGAGTCATACCAAATAAACTCAATCAGTACTCTTGACAAAATCGGACTGAAAAAGTTCAAATTCCAACAAAAGTCCTAACGACTTGTGCACAACTAGCATTTTGTTTCAGACCCATACTGTGTTGGTTTAGCCAAGTCACAATTTAAATGTCTCGCACTCAGCAGACCGACTGAGACTGTCAGAATATCTCCTCGCAGTAATTTTGCTTTGATCAGAGAATATTACACAACCCTGTCGCAAATCCAATATTCATTCATTCATTCTTTCATTCATTCATTCATCCATTCATCCATTCATTCATTCATCCATTCATTCATTCATTCATTCATTCATCCATTCATCCATTCACAGAAATAAATAATCAACAAGGATTTCCCCACACGCACACACATTAGCTTACTAACACTTACACTCACTTGCCTTCAAACACTTTATAATTTAAGTACAGTCTTGCCTTCGATCATTCATTCAATCATTCATCTATTCATTCATTCATTCATTTATTCATTAGCTCAATCCAGAGGACACAGAAAGGAAAACGAAATTGAGACAACTCTGAATGACAGGAGACAACTGGCTACACTAGAATTACAAAGTTCTATGTGTTCAGTACCTAGTTTTGAGAAATCTGACCTCTACAATTTTGAGTTTCACAACACGACAAGCTACTATTTGAATATCTTGGTAACAGCTTCGAACAACCTTACAATTTTCATAGACCAAATAGAATATTTATTGGTTTCTGACTTCGTGGTCTTAGTAATTCAAAACAGCCTAAAACGTCAGAAGGAACTTGGTAATTCTAAGGAATCGAACTCTCATCCACGGAAGACGGTTGGTGAGGGAAAAAACTGCTTCCACACAATACAATAATATGCTATAAAGAAGGATATCTTCAAAGGGAGCATGCTGTTTAAAGAAAATATGTTGCTAATCTTACGTAAGACCTTTTTTGGGGGTCAAGTGCTTTACGGTGCTCGCAACTGCATCAGATCATATGAGCGAGCAGACACATTAAACATTCTCAGTTGGTAGAAAATTTAGAATTTTGACCGAGTGGCTGCCGCAGACTACTGGTAGCGATTTTGAACCACCAAGACTTAACATACGCAACCTTTACACGGGACCTTCTAGAAATTTAGCCCTTTACGTTAACTGAGAAGGCAAGGTATTATATATTACCAACCAAAGATCAGGGGTGTAGCTGAAATACGTCAGTACAAAAAAGCCAAGGAGTAGCAGTAGAAAGGCTGTAGAAAGAGGAGTGAGGAGCCAAGAGGGGGGAGAAATTGAAAAACGGGGATAGGAGCAGAAAGTGAAGATGAAAGTAGACGACAGAACATTGTTAGAGAGCTGGAAAGGAGAAAAATTTTGGAAAAAAGAAAATGTTCCGATGCATTCCGAATTCAAACCCGGCGGGAGCTATTGAATAAGAGGCGAACACCGCTAGAGAGCCCGCTTTAAGGGAAGGGTATCAGGCAAAACTGAATCTTGACCATCCATTCTTAAAATACAGTTGAACTTTCTCTAACGACCACCTTTGCAAGACAACCACTTGTACGGATGACGACTTCCCATTTTCTCACTAAAGTGGTTTTTACATTATAATGACACTGTGTAAGACGCCTGTCAGTCTAAGACAAACATTTTCTCCAAGACAATTGCTGGCCTTTTAAAAAATGTCAATTGTCGTTAAAAGTGTTTGATTTAAAAGACTTGACTTTCGACCAAAATTGGCCTGACAAAGAGCGCAGTCGGCGAATGTGTGAAGTAAGTCAAGTGTGATTATTTAAGGACGTTTAACTTACTTTTATCCCGTCATTGACTATGGGAAAATTGTGATAGGAAAAAAAAACCCAGGGTCCTTTCAGAAGGACCGTGAGCAAGGATGTGCTTCTAAACGGACATGATTGCTTAAAGTTAAAGAAAAACAACTAGGTTTCTTGCATACGGCGTAAAAAGAACAAATGTGTGAGGCAGCGTGGTGGAATCATGCTCTCGTCAAAATAATCAAAGTGAAGAATTTTGCATTTCTCCGAAGGTTTAGGAATTTTTTTGTAATTTTTGTTTTTTGGCTCAACACCTTTCATGCTCATTAAAGAACTCATTTCTGTGTGGATTTTTCTGAAAAACGTTGATTAAAGACACAAAAAATGTAAATTTTCAGTTACCATGGACTCTTAAGCTAGAGAAATAACTAATCTTTGGCGGCCATTTTCTTACTAATTTTACCTCTGAAAACAAGTGACCCCCACCTCCTTTCGCAAATATCTCGACTTGTATTCAAGATAAATGGATTTTTATTTCATCCAAACAAAGACAAGTGAACAAGCTTTAAGATCATACCAATAACTCTACAAGCCCCAAAACTGACGAGAGCCTGATTCCACTACGTTTTGAAACATTTTAATTTGAGGGGTGAGGGTGAAGGGGCGGGACAAATGGGAATATGTTGAGGGTGAGTCGGTGTACATACGTGATTCCAATGAGAGTTCCACTCTCCATGTACACATCACGGTGACATTTCACTTCCACTTTGAACGAATCTTTGCTGTTTGGAATGTAGCTCTGAACTGTAGAGCGAAAACAAAACCAAAACGTGACATTCGGTGGTGTAGATTTTAGCCGGTTCACCGGTGCACGCAGAGTACGTCGGTTCAATTCTTGTGTGGGAGATGCTTTTTGTTCTTTGTATAGTTTTTTTTTTAGTATCTCCGTTTGTCTATTGGGATGTTGTGATAGTTATAATATTGATAATAATAATAATAATAATAACAACA